CCCCAAAACCCCAAAACCCCAAAACCCCTATCTGAACTATTTTAACTTTAAGGGAAATTGCAATAATTTAGTTAATTCTTGATTTCTCTGTAAAATTTTCCAAATATTAAATAAATCGTTAGAAAATGCAGCATTAGCCGACTTTGAGTTCATCTCACTTGACCTCACCTTACCGTTCTGCTTCTCGAACTGCTTGTGAGCTAAGCCATCAAAATTCTTAATCTAATTTGCTAAGAACTATAAGTAAGTAAAACTCAGTGGTGTAAATGAAATAAAACAGAAACAACTTAGATTAGTTACTCAATATACCTGGTATAATGAATCTTGACAAGTACCATAGTTGTAAATAAGCCTATGGTAGTGTGGCTGGAGGGTAATTTTTATAAAAGCCTTTGCCAACTCAATAGCACCAAAACAAACCACCATCAGTTTAAAGTTATTCAGGGCAAAATCATCTTCTTAGTCCTACTAATATTTACAAAACATAAGGCCCGAATAACTATAGTTCTCAAGCGAGTCTAAGCGGATACAAGCCCTAACATGCAACTTTTAATCAAAAGTAATCAATGGTAAACCCAACTCAAGGTCATAAAGGATCATTTGCTAATAATTCTAATGCACTCTAACAATTTAATCAATCTTACCTCAATAAATTATCTAATCTGGAAACAAAAAGCAAATGCTACTCACACCAGTACCTGAATGAATTTTACTGTCTAGAATGCGCACGTGATATATGCAGCCATTGCCTTTTACTTCCTAACTCCCCACATCAGGGACATAAAAACGTATAAATTAAAGATCACTTGAGAAAAGTTCAGAGTTAAAACAAAGAAAATGCAAAATACCTTGATCAAGTTAGGAAGAAATTTGGAAAACCAAGTAAAGCTAATCATGCATAAGAAATTATTGAGGAAAAATAAAAAGAGCTATCTGAATCAATAGATTAAAAAATTGAAGGTACTATTAATAAGCTGAGAACATTGTAAGATGAAGTAAAACGAAGGTATGGAGATCTCATTCATTCCAATATAGACCAAATAGAGGCATAATAGAATAAAATTCAATTAGATGCAACTAAAAACAAAGTATTGGCTAAGACTCTTTAAAAAGCATTGGAATAATAAGATATAGGGGTGGTGATAACTCAAAATCAGACTTTAGAGGACAGTCTGTAAAGCATGCATAATCAAATTAAAAACTATGAAACCTTGAAAAAAGACTGTTAAGATAAAAGAGAATAGTATAAATTAGATGCAGAGAAAGGTACTGAAGAAATATTGTAAGCTATAAATGATAAGGTCAAGGCTGTGAATGAAATATTAGATATTCCTAGATATAAACATTTTGAGTTATTGAATTCTCCTTCTAATTTCGACAGTCCTAGGGAACTCTAATTGCTTGAAAGTCTATTAAATCCTGAAACATCTAAGAAGCAAAACCCACCAAGATCTCAATCTGCAAAGCTAGATCAATCCAAATAAAAACAGAAAGAGCCTCTTAAATTTGAAAAGATCATAATTCAACTCCAAAAAGAACAGCAGAAGACAAGACAGGATATTAAGAATAATATTATGGCAGACTTCTAATTATAAAAGTTTGCCTCTTCAAATAGTAATAATTAGCCTGTGACTAGCACTAAATCTACGACACATTACGATACAAATGAGTACAAAAAAGAGTAATAGTCTAGAAGACTCAGTATGCATTCCTATTAAGTCAATTCATAACTTTCGAGCTATTAATGAAAGAAGAAATACTTAGATTAAAAGCCATTCTCCTTATTTTCCATTTGGATTTTTAACCAATTAATTCAATGAAGAAGGTCTATATAATTCTCCTTAGTAATTATAACTTAAGTTAATAATAAACCATTTTATTTAATTATATATTGATAGCTATAGTCAAATTGGGAAAGATTTTATTCAGTTTTAATCCCATCATTATTTTGATAGCTTCTCAGCATCTTATAGTTTTGCGAATCTATCATTAAATTCATCTATTTTCCTCTCAATGTTCTGCTGAACTCTATCTAATAGCTATATTCTTTGTCTGTACGCTGAAGGATCGCTATATTTATAGTCCTCTGCAGATTTCTTATCTCTTCTTAAGTCAGCTTTATCTTAGTCTATTTTCCGTTTTAAATCCTTAAGAACAGCTCTTTCTTTATGAATGTACTCTTTCATATGAGTAGTATCTCTATCGTAGTCCGCGTTATCATCTGAATTTTCCTTGTCATAGTTATGAACTTCTTCTAGCATGTCTTGGAATCTAGTTTATTTGCGAACACCATCATTTGCCTTTGTACTATTATGCTGCATCAATAGTTCTTTGATTTACTTCATTTCCTACTCAAGCTTTTATATATTTGCATTGTCTTTGACCTCATTTTTAGGTGGACTAATCGATGAAAAGTTATCGAACTTAGATTCAATAAGATCTTTATACTATCTCTGAGCTTATTAAATCTCAACTTGCTTTTTTGATATTTCATCCTTGATGTATTAAACTCTTTATGAATCATCTCCTATTGCTTTCTTAGAATTAAGTTAAATATTTAACTCATTGATATCTCGCTCTAATTATCTCTTTTTAGATTTCTCATTGTCTAAATCTTCTTCATAGCTCTATATCTTCTTTTATAGATCCTTTTACTCCCTGTTTAGATTGTCTATTTCATGTCTTAGTTTTTCCTTATCACTACTGGCTATGTTGAGCTTATCTATACTGCTTTAAATATCCTGCATTCTTTTTCTTTTCTCATCTTCAAATAATCTTCTTTCTTTTTCATACTTCATCATTTACTACTTTCGATAGGACTCTACTTAGTCTTGATACATCTGATCTATTCTTAGCTTTATTAGTTCTAATTCTCGTTCTTCATTCTCCTTTGAAAGCTGCAATTTCTATTGTTTACGCTTAAGATCTTATTCATGCTAGTCTATTAGTATTTATTCATAGTCTTTCAACTCTCTCTAGCGTTTCTTTTCCCACTTTTCCTCCTCTTACTAAAGCTAATCCTCAAGCTACTTTTTATACTCTCGGATTGCAAGTTCATACTCCTCCTCAAGTTCTTCCTTATATTACTAAATTTCTAATTCATGAGAGTTACCACCTAGCCCATTCGTTTGCATATCCCGCTTCATCTATTCTACCTTTCTCTCATACTTCTATTGTTCCTCCTTTTCTATTTGCTCAATATCTTATCTCAACAGTTCTTCTTAATCCCTCTTTTCCTTATCAAAATTTTTTTCCATTTCTCGCCTGAGACTTTCGACCTGCTGATTGTACTCTCCTTAAATTTTTCTCTTCTCATTTTTAAGCTTTTCAATATCAGTTTTCTTCGAATCAAGAGTCCTGCCTTAGTCTTTTCTAAATTTTTCCAATTCAAATTCATATCTCTCCTTCTCGGTTTCTTCCAATGTCTTCCTGATTCTCGCATATGATTCTTCTAAAGTTTATTTCTCTCTTATATATTTCTCTTCCTATTCTTTTTCATATTGTCTGAGTTAAGTTTCTGAATCTTTTTGTATCTGAAGTCTTTCTCTCTCCTCTTCTTGATGCAATTTTTCTTTGAATAATGTTATTTAAGCATCAATATGCATATCTTATTCAAGCTTAATCTTTCTTTCTTCCTCTTTTTTGTACAAGTCCCATTTTTACTTTTCTGCTTCTATTTCTTTCTCATTTTGTTTTAGAATTTCTTGCTTTTTCAATTCAAAATTCTTATCAATATGCTCTATTGATTCCTTGTAATCTTAGTCAAGGATTTTAATCTACTCTTACAGTATTCTCTGAACTTAAGCATCGTGTGCATTATTTTGAGAGGTAAGAAATGAGTTATTATTATTTGCTGCTAAAGGCTAGTTTAAATGAGCACCGATGCCCGAAGACCCTCCCCAATTTTAACCTCTGTTTTACTCTTAATTTAATAATTGAAGTTTCTTAGCTTTTTCCCTCAAATAGAGTTATCTATAGTGCTCATCTAAGGGATGCTCATTTTAAATTTAACCAGTTTCTGTGTTAAAGTATTGAACTGCTCCCTATTTATCTTGTATCATCCTCCAAGGATTTGGCAAAGGTGCTGTTAACTATGAAATATTTAGATAACTATTTAATCTTACTCCTTCTTCACATATCCAAAGCAGATCCCTATCTTCATGAATATTCATACCAAGTTCCTGTGCATAACTTAAGATTTCTAATGTTTGATTTAATACTTTGAACAAAATAAACTTACCTTCATCAGTGGGTTCCTAATACTCTTCGTCTTCTATGTCTAAGTTCTAAAAGTTTTGATTATTGCCAATCATCATATTTTTTATTTTTCTGTTTGAAATTAATAATTTAAACTTAGAGATATTAATAGTCAACGTAGTATTAGCTTTATCAATTACTGCATTCTTAATAAACATCAATATCTTTAATTGCTCATAATTATGTCATAATTATTAAGATTAATAAATTAGCGATCAATTCGTACTTTTAAAAATGCAAGTGAGATTCAGACTAGGTACTGCAAACACTAAATTCGGAGAGTCAGTTCATGTAACTGGAAATATTCCATAGCTTTCAAATTGGAATGTAAGATTATCAAACTTTTTTAAGCTCTTTAGGCAAAATAAGCACCATTAATGAGCACTGATGCTTCCAGATACCCTTAATGGGATAGCATGAGCTCGATAATATTGAATGATGAATAAGCATTAAGCCCATTTGAATACAAGTACATCATCAACTAAAATGTAAATCAACCCCAAATACTTCAATTCGTTTACATTATATAAAGGATAATATAAAATGGGAACAAGGGAATAATAGAGTTTTAAATTTATCAAGTCACTTAGGTGAAAAAGAAGTTTTAATTATTGATCATGGTTATGATTAAAAAGCTGCTCCGAAAATGTAAGAAATAGAATTAGCTTAATAATTTAGATAAACTTTGAATGCATAGCCAGATATTTTATCAAGTTCGTAATAGTTAAATCTATCTAAATAATCGACTCCTGCATCAACACAAGAACATCACAATAGCTTGGACACTATTGATGAGGAAGAGGAAAAGCAAAGTGATATTTCTCAAGATCACATCCTGCCAGCCAAGCCAAAATCTTTATAGCAAAACTTATAGCCACTTTCCACATTAGTAAGAGACATTATTGAAGAACTTAAAGGGCTAAATGCAGAAAAAGGTACTTGGAAGTAAAAACTGGAGATAGTGGCATAATTAGTAGATAAATTCAAAGGCTATTCGAATTTTCCAACAGAGGGACTAGCCATTTTGTCAGCTTATCTATATTTTGTCAACTCTCATCAAATCAAATGTAGTGAAAACGGTACTCATTTCAGACCAAATAATCATGCCAATATTGCCTATTAACTTTACTAAACTCTTGATAGAGAACTTACTACAGAGGAAAACACATTCATTGTAAGAAGCCTAAAAAAGAATTTGGTAAGAATTAATTCCTCTATTAATAACTTATTAGCCTTCATTTGCTGATTAATATACCTAAACTGTACCATTGACTAGGATCAGAGATATTGCTCATAGAGGAGATATTCCTCAAGATTTGAAAAATGACATTAAGCACAGACTCTAGAATAAACTCCACAGATGCGCAGACCCAGGTGACTTAAAGACTTGCGAGGAACTCATTCAAAGAGTTAGAAGGTATGAACACTCATTTCTTAATAACTTCGTATAGTGGTAACTACAGTGGAGAATTTAAGTAATAGTTTGAATTATTCTATGAGGAACTAAAGGAGTTTTTTAATGCTATGGGACTGAACTTTTTACTCGGAAAAATCATGAATATGCTACCCTAGGAGTCAAATTTGATCTAAGAATTTTTGAATAAGAAAGATAGTGGTCAAATAAATGAGAACACAATATAAGTCCTGACAAATTTGAGGAAGAATTTGATAAACAGATTGAACGAGATATTAGGAGATCATAATAAGAAAACTTTGTATCAGTATTTGTAACTTGCTGATATAGAACTAGAATAATTCTTATTCGTCAAATTATCAGAGATACTTGCTCCTGTTTAATAGCTTAATTCCTATGATGAAGTCAAGAGAATACTAAGAATCAGCATTGTTGCTATTGATAATATGATGCTTAGTGGGTTTTACTAGAATGAACTTGGTATATTATTGAATGAGCTGAATTAATTTGGAGTGTTTGGAGATAAGCTAGAAAATGTAACCCTAAGATTAAAAAGGCTGAAATCTACTATTGAGAGAGCTTTAAGACTTGGGAAAAATTTTACCAGTAAAATCATTGATACTTTCTAGGCTAATGTTTTCGATCTTGGCAAATAGTTTAATGTTGAAAAGCATTCAATAGAGGTATATGCAGAGAGTTTTGTGAGATCTCATCTTATATTCTAATTTTCAAAATCACTTGAACTAGTCATCTAGTTCATTCGAAAATCATTAAACTTACCACCTTATATCATTATAAGTCAGGGTAATACATAAACAGTCCATGGTAATTTGATATATTGCCATAGCTTATATGATCTGCTGCATGTTTAATCCTTGGTTTAAAGCTAAAAGCTTATAGTTCTACTTGAAACTGCTGATGGAACAGAGGAAATACCTAATAATGTGATTGGCGTGCTATTAAAGCATGATCTTCCTCAGTTATCTCATTTAGCTATTAGGGCTAGATAATCTGGCTGTATATTCGTGTGCTGTGAGAATGACGATGCTTTCAATAGAATTCATAGATAAGTTTAAGGAGCTAAATTTTGTAAAATGTAGCTAGTGAATGAGAGTGTCTAAATTGATTAATTTTCTGGTATTGTTGTGAAATCATCTTTAAATGAGGACCAAAAGGAAATTTTGAAAATCGAAGCTAAAGATTTGACAGCTTTAAAGTAAAAATTCAGTGACTAGGACTTTGATATAGTCACTGATTTTATTGAATCAAATAAGGATAGATAAGTATAGTTACTTGGTTCAAAGTCAGTAAATTCACTTAGACTAAAAGATATCTCTCAGGATTCTGAAAAGCACCAATTTTTCACACCAGAGCAGATCACTGTTCCAATGACTGTTCCCTAATTCTTATTGATGAGAGACTAGGCATAATATGATTTGTATTAACAACTCATAGACAAACTAGACGAGGCTCCTGTTTATATGGTACAACCATTAAGAGAAAAGATCATAGATTTCCTAATTAAACTTTATCATTAAGGTAATGATGTAATAGATTCGATAGTTGAATAAGTCTAAATATCACTCAGTTAATTACCTTCAGATACGTTAGTAGCAGTAAGATCTAGCTCTACTCTTGAGGATTTATCTAAAATGGCTGGAGCAGGATTATTTGATTCATACCTAAACATTACACTTGGAAACAAAGTCTAATTATCACAGTCAATTATAGATGTCTGGCTTAGTCTATTCACTGAGAGAGCTATAATTTCTAGAAATCAATATAAGATTCCAAGTTCTCAAGCATAAATGTCTGTGCTAATTTAACAATAGATTCATTCAGAGTTTTCTTTTATCATTCATACTCAAAATCCAGTAAACAAGAATCAAAATGAGGTTTATATTGAAGTTGCAGTAGGGCTAGGTGAAACTTTAGCCAGTGCAAACTAATCAGGTACTCCCTACAGAATCTCATACGATAAAAAGACTGAAGTGGTTAATGTATTAAGTTTTGCAAATTACCAAAATGGATTATTCGCTAATAAATCTGAAATTTCTGGAATAGAGAGAGTTTTAGACTATAGTAAAATTGAATATTCTAGCGATCCAACACAATTGCTTTCACTTGGAAGGTAATATTTTTTATAAATCATAATTTATTGATAGATTATTGGGAATGATCGGAGAAAGAATTGAGAGCGCATATAGTGGATAAGCATAAGATATAGAAGGTGCTATAGTCTTTGAAAATTCTGCACCTAAAATTTACATAGTTCAAACAAGGAACTAAGTTTGAATAAATTTGATTATAACTTTGATAAAATCTCTCAAGATGATAATATATATAATCTTAATTTAATAACTTAAGTCAAAAGAATCCAAATTAAAAATAATGATAAACGACCATGTCTAAATATAGCTTTATTATTCAGAAAAATATATTATTGGTTCTTTTTTATATCTGAGATGCTTTTGTACTGCCCGGATAAATCTAAGAACCAGGACTTTCTATTGAATTTAACTGGTTGATATTAAAATTATTCTGCTGATTATTTCTTCCAACATCTCCTCTAAATACACTTGACTTCATCTATCCCCTAATTTAGCTGTCTAATGCTCTCTATACTTATTAAATATGAAGAGATTCCTAGTTAAAATCATGCATTTGGTTCTTTAATGAAGCTCTTTCATTCATTGCCTAATTCAATTACTTTTATTGATCAAACAAAGATCTATTACTTTGATCTTACACTGATTAAAAGTGCTGTTATTTATTTTGATTCTCATACTAATTTTGATTTCTGGACTACCCCATCAATTTTTGTGTATTGTATGAATTATAATCTAACCTATCGAAGTCCTTATCAGCTTTTCTATCTAAAAAGTCATCAGGAGAATATAAATTTCTTTGCTTATGAAATTAACTTTCTTAAGGACTAATAATCTAGCTTCTTAAGTAATTCTAAATATCTGATCTCTAAATTTACTCAATATTTTAAGCTTGTTCATTCTCTATCTTATCTTTAGAGTAATGAAAATTTTGCTTCATGTTTGGAACTTCTGGATTCTCTACATTTGAACTGCTTCTTTCAAAATTGCTGAATGAACTTTTCGGTAGTTCCAAAACACTTCTACTTTGTAAAATATTGAGTCCAGCTTAAGAAAAAGTGCCATCCAACCCTTTAGGGCTGGTATTATTGCTTAATATATTTTTTAATTCGTTGTTATTTTGATGTTGTTTTGATTTGTTATTACCCTTTGGAAATATCACAGTGTTCGTATAATCCTTAGTGTACCTCTAGAAGCCAGGAACAACCTTACTAGCAGCGTCTAACTATCCTTATTGAAAAGCTTATAAAGCCTAAGTGTTTAGCTTCTTTTCACTGACAGACATTTCATTTTCTTTGATCTTTTAATCCTAAACATTTTTCATTTAATTCTTAAGATCTTAAGCATATTACTCTCTTCGCTTTCTATCATTTTCTCTTTTTCTTACCTCATCCGATTGAAAACTCTCATAATTCTTTTGGATTATATCATGATATGAACTCTCAGATTCTTTATTTATCCTTTTACTAGCATACTTGATCTCCATAAGTACCTTATTTGAGTCATTGGTTTGCTAATATTTTTATTATAGTATTTAACTTTATTTATCCTTTTCATGCTCTATTTCCTTCATCCTCTTCTCATGCTACTGCTACATTGAATCCATAGCCTCAATCTTCTTCTATTAATTCTTATCTATAATTTATCTTTTCGCTCTTTGATCAATCATGTTATCATAGTATTACCTCTTTTCATCATAAAACTAAGAATGACATTACTGTAAGAATTCTTACCATCTAGCTCTTGACTTCGCGGTCTCTGAGTATCTGACTCTCAATATCAATATATACTCTATCCCTTTACTTTTACTCATCCTCTTTTGACCTCTTTTCATTTATTTGATTCTCAATGTGCTGAACTATATCCATTTGCTATCTTTCCTTTTTCATTAATCTAAGCTGTTATTCAATCCTCTCCTTTTCCAAGTCAGTTTTGAATTTTTCATTCAGCAACTATTTCTCGAGACCCTACATCTTAGACTCTAAGTTGAGACGTTTCTATTTCTCCTCTAATGTTTCTCGCATGAGTAACTATGTTTAATTCTTTTTTTGCATATTTCTTTCTAATTCTTGTTCCCTTGTGTACTGTTAATTATTAAGAAGTATAATAGTACTAAGGCTAGCCTTGATATCTAATTCTTTTCGTTTATATCGTATTTTCCTGAATCTATATTCTGCCCTCGTGTTCTTGATTGCTATAACTAAGCATCCAGCTATTCCTTTAGATACTGCTACTTAGCCAATTTTTCTTGTCTCTCTTACAATTAAATGTTCTATTAGACTTCAGATTGTAGAGCTAGTATTGCACCCCATTCATTTTAAAAGCCTATTTATTTAGGATATTAAATTTTAATGGTTTACCCTTAGGGTGTTGTGGAATATCACGCTTCATTTATAGATATTTATATTTATCCCTTAAAAACAATAATTCGTTAGAAAATAATCATCCACGGGGTTTTGGGGTTTTGGGGTTTTGGGG